GTAGGTGCTTTAGACCACTGAGCCATCTCACCAGCCCGCAGTGGCTGTTCTCTTATGCTAGCCTGGGATTTGCCTTGTCTGAAGCTATGGCTCTCTTTTGTTTAATGGTTGCTTTCTTGATCTTGTTTGCCGTGTAACAGAAATTATTGCTTGAAATGTTGGCACTCAGTAATTACAGATATAATTCTGTGTATTTTACTGTGACTCTGAAAATTGTAGTGCTGGTGTCATGGAAATGTACATTATTCCAAAATCATTTCATTAAAGATGAAAATTTTAAAAAATAAACCAACAAAAAGACCCCCAAAAGCTGAGGTATTTATTTATTTTAAAAACTTAGGTTTTTGAAAGAACAGCCCCACACACATACTTCCACCTCTCCTCGTCTAGCCGGAATTTGGATGTGACTTTAGTGCCTGCTCAGATGGCTTAGCCTCACTATGCAGCTCAGGCTGGCCTTGAACTCTCAGTGATCCTCCTGCCTCAGCTTCCAGGTGCTGGAGATACAGGCGTGCCCCACGGTGCCTGGCTTGATGGTTATTTTGATGCCTTCCTGCTCCTTGGGACGTTGCAGGGCCCCAAACAGAGAAGGAGCTGTAGTCATTGGTGGTTTGTGGCCCCTGCTGATACACTCGAGGGCCCGTGCTGTTCCTAGCGACACGCATTCTGCTGCAGCTGTGCCCAGCTGTGTTGGTTGTCTGGGTGATGCCTGTCTTTCTGCTGAGTGTAGGCTCCACAAGGGTGGAAGCTTTTCTGGTTCATTACAGTGTGCCCAGGGCCTGAAACGAGACATCCAAGGTTCATAGAACCCAAGTCAGTGTCTGAGGACTTTCTGTCTGAGCAGCTGGTAGTTTAGCACCTGGCCGCTTCCCTCTGCTGCCTTGAACCCGCCAGGTCTCTTCTCTTACAGGTGCTCCTTCTCGCGTTCACTGTCCTGTCTAGGAGATCAGAGGACAAAAGCCCAACAGTGGCTGTCTTCATTGCTAACACTGTGCCACATCCTTCCCCTATAGAAGAGGAGCAAGGTTCCCTGCTCAGAAGAAGGTTTTAAAAAGACCCAGGGCAGGCCCAGAACCCCAGACGTGCCATGTGGGCCACCAAAACTGGGTGTGGTGGTTCACTCCTGTAATTCCAGCACTGGGGAGGCTGAGACAGGAGGATCACTACAAGTCTGGGCTGTGTAGCAAGACCCTGTACTAAATATATAAATAAAAAAATTAAATATGTATATATTTTTAAGAAAAGATCCAGAGCTAGGAGTATAGCTCAGGGTAGTGAGAACAGAGAGAAAGGATCTTTCTTTTTTTTTTTTTTTTTTAATTTGTATTTATTTGTGTTTGTGTGTGTGTGGCCAGCTCAGCCCACCAGGGGGCGGGGCTGGCTGGCATGTGGTGCTGGGGGATTGAACCGCGGTCCCTGTGCTTTGCCAAGCTTGTTCCAAGTAGGTGCTTTAGACCACTGAGCCATCTCACCAGCCCCGGATCTTTCATTTTTAATTTTTCTTTTCTGCAGATACTCTACATGCCTTGTAGCCTGCTCGGCTACCTCAGGTGTCCCAGGCTTGCTTGGACTGCAACCAGCCTTGCTGACACCTTCCCATTTGACTCAGGTCTTGGAGGGGACCCATCCTCACCTGTGATCAGACAGAAAGTCTGGCACTGCCCATGTACAAGCCCACCTCTATTCCTGTGCAAGCAGCCTCCTGTACAGATTATGGGGCTCAGTCTGTGCGCTATTTCTCCTTAGGCTGTAGTGTAAGGCCTAACATAGCCCCTTCCCCCCATTTGTGGGACTGGGGATTTGCACCTGACTATATCTACAGTCCTTTTCCTATTTTTTAATTTTGAGGTTGGGTCTTGCTAAAATGTCCAAGTGGGACTTGAACTTGCAAGCTTTCTGCCTTAGCCTCTGAGAGTGGTAGGGTTATAGGCATAAAGCTGCCTGCGCCAAAAGCCTGTGCTGATGACCCTGACCATGGTGGGCAAGAGAATGTTGGGAGCACCAAAGAATTGCTGGTGCTACCATCCTCAGGACCAGAACAGCCCCTGAGTCATCCAGCAGCTGCTGTCTCTGAGTAGGAAGCAGAGCAGATAGCTGCTGGCACTTAACACTTTTAGTGTGGACACAGCAAGTTAATACTCTTCAGAGCTGCACGTGGCCAGTTTGTGATTTCCTCCTCAGTTGAGCAAAGCCCTTCAGCCAATGGGAAACAGCTCAGAAAGCCATACAAGGACCTTCAGGGTTCTGAAGAGGGGAATGGACAGCGATGACCAGCAGGCTCTGATTCCCACCTTCCATGTGACTAAGAGTCCTTGCTAGCAGGTGACAGCAGGGTACTTTCCTCGCACACACACAAAACCCTGGGTTCAAATCCAAGAACTGAAAAAAAAAATCTCTATCTCTATCTCTATCTCTATCTCTATATCTCTCTATATATCAAGTAAACTAACTACCCAGCTCCCAGGAGGCTGAGGCAGGAGGATCACTGCAAGTTTGGGGTCAGCCTGGGCTACATAGTGAGTTCAGTCCAGCCTGAGCTACATAGCAAAATCTTGTCTGAAAAAACAAAACACTCAGTAGAATAAGCGCTTGCCTGGCAAGTGCAAGGGCCTGAGTTCAACCCCCCGTTCTGCAAAAAACAAAACAAAACAAAACAAAAACTACAAAAAAACCCCCCTGTAATCCCAGTGCTGGGGAGGATGAAAAGAGGAGGATCACTTCAAGTCGGAACTGCATTACTGAATACGTAAATTAAAAAAAAAAACAAAAACAAAACAGCTGTCTTTGTGGTGAGCCCTTTGCAAGGTAGGGTTAATCTTCTGTGCTGCCATCGGCCTTCTGACATGTGAGGCGTCGCTCCTTCTCACCAGCAGGGGATGCGGTGTGCAAAGTACCATCTGGGGAGAACGGCATCACCAGACACCAAATCAGTCAGCACTGGACCTCATGCCGCCCAGCTGCCACAAGGAGCTAATCAATTTCTATTCCACTAAAAAAAAAAAAAAAAAAAAAATTGTATTCCCCATTAATTACCCATGCTTTGGGGTAATGGACTAAGACACAAAATGGGTTATGACAACTTTTTGACCTCAGGCTCCTTGCTGTTGTCTCCAGAAAGCCACCTCCCATGGAGTGCAGGCCATTCCTCACTAAGACATTTCAATGACCCAGCACACCTCTGAACTCACCCCAGTGAGCCCAGCCTGGCTCTTGCCTATTTCCCTGCTGAGAGCCCAGCTGGGAGGCTCCAGCATCTCTGCCTCACTGGCTGCTGCTGCTTTTGCCTGGGACACCCACGTCCCTGGTTGTCCTGTTTGACACCTTGTACATGAATACTAGGCAGGTCAGTGGTGGAGAGCTTGGCTAGTGCGAGACCACTCTAGCACCACACAGGTGTGCATAAGCCCAGGCACATGCTTGGGATTAGACCCGAGTCACTCCTTCAGGAAGCCTCTTCTCTTCCTCAGGCTGAGTCACACTCCTCCATAGGGCTCATCTCACCTAACACGCTCAGCTGCAAGCCAGTCAGTGGCTGTTCACGCCTCTTTAAGGGCAGATCACTGGGTCCCACCAGCTCCCCGCTGCGGGTCTCCTGGCATGAACAAGTGATGTGATTCCAAGATTTGGTTCATTTGTGTTTTAGCATCTCAAAGGGCCAGCTAAATGGCATGGTCATTGCCCGTCATTTCCTACAGGAAGTTGGAAAGTAGCTGTTATTTGCCTCTCTGTGACAGAGGTGGGGTGAGTTTCCTGGCAATTGCTGTTGTTGGTTGGACACCTCCCAGTCCTGCTGGATTATTTTATTTGTGTCTGTTTATTTTTAGGGCTCAGCAAGTCAAACACATGGCCTTATGCTTGCCAGACAAGTGCTCTACTATTGAGCCACAGACCCCAGCCTCCTGCCAGAGTATTTTGAAGCAAATTACAGAGACCAGGGCTGGGGAGATAGCTTGGTGACCTAAGCACCCACCTGGCAAGTGCAAAGATCCAGGTTTGATCCCCAGTACCACATGCTCGGCCAGCCCTGGCTCGGTAGTGAGACCCAGTACCAAATACATAAATAAGATTTAAAAAAAAAAAATTACAGAGGGGCCAGAGAGATAGCTCAGTAGAATAAGCGCTTGCCTGGCAAGCACAAGGGCCTGAGTTCAATCCCTGGTTCTGCCAAAAAAAATCAAAAAACCAAAAAACAAAAAAAAAATTTACAGGGATCAGATCACTCTGATATTCTCATACATATCTCAAAAAGATAAAAACATAAAGGCTCTTTTAATAACACACAGCACCTGGGAAGACAGGTGCGGCTTGTACTGAAGTGTTCCAAGGTCTGCTGTTCCAAGGTCCTCTCCACAGCCCAGCAGCTCACACCCTGCTGGGAAAGTGGAAAAAGAGGAGCCGGCCGCCCCTGCTCACTTGGCGCCTAGGTAGCAGGAAGTCCCGCTCAGGCACGTGGCCTGCAGCAACTTGTTGGGAGACCTGTGGCGCGGAGGGAGGAGGGACGCCCGGCTCCAGAGGACCGATGGCCGCCGGGAGTGGCGCTCCGACGATGAGGCTGTTCTCGTGGCTGACTTTCCTGGCCCTCTGGGGCGTTTCCAGTGCTGAACCAGGTAGGGGGGCCGGGCGACCTGGATGGCTTTGTTTTGTGCTAGGCACTCTGCCCGGGGCTTCTGCAAGCAACTCCCCGAAAGCCCCAAATGCCGCTGAAACTGGCAAGGCAGGGAGACGGGGAGTGGGGACGGCCAGGTGACCACGACCACCAAGGGTGCTGTTGAGCCTGAAAGCCAAGAGGAGGGGCGAGAGCTGCCCGCGGGCAGGACCCTGGCTAAGGGCTTGGCACACAAAAGTGTGGCACGACAGGTTCACAAAGTGAGTTAAAATAAATATGGGTTCAAGGCTGAGGGCACAACTTAGTGGCATCAGTGGTAAACCACACGAAGCCCTGGGTTCAATCCCCACCACAAAATAAATTTGGTTAGGGGTCTTCTGTGTGCCAGGCATTTTTCTAGCACTCAGGAAGAAGGCAGAGAAAACAAAGTCCTGGCCCTCACTGAGCATTCCTTCGCTAGCAGAGAAACAAATAGAACATGAAAATAAGCGAAATGTGTCATATTCCAGGAGAGAAGTGTTCCGGAAAAATGAGAAAACAGAATAGGGAAGTAAGGGGCGTGGGGGAGGAGGCAAGTCCTGGGTGGTCAGAGGAGAGCGAGGCGACATTTTAATAAGTCATGAGGCCACGGTGAGGGAGAGCCTCCTGGGTGTGTGGGTGTCAGGGGATCACTCCACGAGACGACAGAGGGGGCGCGAGCGCTGCAGCGGTGGACGCGCAGGTGCCCCGACGCGCAGATGCCTAGACGCGCAGGTGCTCGGACGCGCAGGTGCGGGTGAGCAGCTGGGAGCGCGTGGGGCCGGGGCGGAGGGGGTGGCAGAGGGGGCGGGGCGGCGGCTGCTCTGGGGAGTGAAAGGGGAGCGTCCTTGGCAGGTGTTGGGCAGTCATCCTGCGATCTGATTGAGCTGTTGTCCGGGGAAGAGTCGTAATGTGATCAAGGGGGAGCGCCCAGCTCCTCCAGGTTCACCTGGAACTTTCCGAGTTTTAGCATGGAAAGCCGGGTACCTTGGGGTCTCCGTCAGGCCCCGCACATAACCATCTGGTAGAAAAGTTTTAAGACTTTGTTTCAATACAGCAAATTAAAAAAAAAAATTCTAAGGACTTATGTGTCAGGCACTGCGAGAATTTCTGCATAAATTATTTTTACAGAGTGCCAGTTTTTTTGGCGCTGCAGAGAAGCAGAAGCAAAAGAAAGAGAAGGAAAGGCCTTTGTTGCCATTGAGGAGAACGCAGGAATCTGCCCCACGGTGATCCTCACCTGGGACTGGAAGGCTGAGATTTAATGGACTTGTAGTAGGGGCGGAGTTTGAGGGGCAGGTTCAGTAACACACGGAGAGCTGACTGGGGGCGCCCTCGTTTGCGCGGGAAAGGCATCCAGGACTTGGGCGGGGAAGCCGGAGGAAGCCGTTGGGAAGAAAGCTGTTGTGTTTTGGGATTCGGCCGTGTTGAACCAGGGCCGTGATAATTTAGCAGTGTGTACTCGGGCTGGAATCTAGCACTCTTACAACAGCCAGGCGAAGCACTGTCATTGCCATTTTCTAGATTGAACTTTACAGAAGTAGGGGCCGGGGAGATGGCTCAGTGAAATAAGCGCTTCCCTGGCAAGCACAAGGGCCTGAGTTCAATTCCTGGTTCCACAAAAAAAAAAAAAAAAAAAAAACGAACTTTACAGAAGTAACTAGCTCAGGGGTGCACATCTGGTGTCTGAGCCCGGACAGGAACGTAGGCTGTCCAAATACACTCCATCGGTCACGTAGTACTGAGGAAAATAGCACGAAGAGTTTACACCTATTCATTCAGCGCTTAGAATGGGCCAGATTTGGTATTAAGTGCTTGACTTATGCTGTCCTTTTAAAACTTGTTTTGAAACAACAACAACAACAACTTGTTTTGAAAAATATAAGGGAGGGGGCCAGGGAGATAGCTCAGCAGCTTAGGCGCCTGCCTGACAAGCACAAGGGCCAGAGTTTGATTCCTGGTACCAAAAAAAAAAAAAAGGGAAAAAATGGTGTGGGTTTTTTTTTTTTTTTTCTTTTCTTCTTCTTCTTTTTGGAGACTGTGTTGCCCAGAGGCGAGTCTTGGGCACCTGGGTCAAGTGAGTCTCCCAGCTTAGTTTCACAGATACCTAGGACTGTTGGTGTGCCCAGCTCCGTTTGATTTCACAGCCCTTGTAAAGTATCATTACATTATCATTACGTCCATTTTGCAGACGAGGAAAATGAGACTCAGACATTTGCCCCATAGTGAAGAAGTGACAGGTTAAAGTCTGCTCAGCAGCTGTAAGCTTTATGCTCTTCCATGTGTTCTCAGGACAGTGAGCTTTATAGATATTGTCTTTTTCTCCAGACCTGCTGGAATGTATACCTCCTATGTATAATTTTATTTATTTATTAATATTTATTTATTTATTTGGTACAGGGTTCTACACAGCTCAGACTTGTAGTGATCCTCCTGTCTCAGCCTCCCCAGTGCTGGGATCACGGGCATGCACCATTATGTCCAGTATCAGTGACCAGCTTGGAGCTGTACTGGGAATCAAACCTGGGTCCTTGCACTTGCCAGGCAGGCACCTAGATCACTGAGCTATCTCCCTGGCCCCTTCTACGTATCATTTTAAAACAAAAGCAATAGGGCCAGGGAGATGGCTCAGTGGAATAAGTGCTTCCCTGGCAAGCACAAGGGCCTGAGTTCAATCCTCCGTTCTGCAAAAAAAAAAAAAAAAAAGCAAAAGCATTTAAAAAGCATACCACAACACCTACAAGTTTGTTCAGGTCCTGGGTCTTCCAGAAGTGCAGACACCAATTAGACAGCACCCAGCTTTGCACAAAGCTGCCTTCTACCTCCAGCTTCCGTAGCCAGGAGCTTAGGAGGGGCGCCAACTTCCTGGCTTCTCCTCCCACACAAATGCCCTGCAAAAGTCTCCACTTATTCCTCAGCTTCAGATGGCAAAAAAACAGACAGGTTCTTCCAGGCGGTCACTGCGGTAAGAAAGCCATCCCCTAAGACTGGGCAGGGCTGAGGGAGCAGGATCCACCAGGGGAGAACACTTGTCTCCCTTAGGGTTTGGCCTGAGCCTCAGCTCCCTTCCCTGCACAAGGGGAATGATGACATCCCTCTTCTCTCCTCAGGAACACCTCGGTAGAAGCAGGCCTATGGTCCCAGCACTGGGAAAATGAAAGCAGGAGAGTTACAAACTGGGGTTATAGCCTGAACTGTAAAGTGAGACCCTCAAAAGATTTCCCTGAGGCCAAAATTCATGCATGTCCTTTCTACTTCAAGCCAGGAAACCCAGGTCCTCTGATGGTTCTGCCTTTGAAATTTTTTTTTTTTTTTTTTGCCTTTGAATTCTGATGTGACCTATCGAGAAAATAGGGACCATACATGATCATGAAAATGTATAGTTCAGTGAGATCATGCAGGTGTGCAGTAAAGTGCTATAAAAGCTTAAGGGACAAACATGCGGGTCTAGCGCTTTCCAAGGCCACACTGCCTGGTGGCAGCAGAGTAACGCACACTGTGATAATTCCTGCCCTGGAACAATGTGAATGCCAGGTCTGCCACTGTAAAAGGAGCACAGCTGGAGAATGTAGGGCTTGTCTAGAGCCTAGTTGTGATGGGTGAGGAGAGCAAGTTGCCAAGAGGCCAAAGAAGACATCCGGGGGTGGCCTGTGAGAGACGAGGCTTACAGAACCTTTTTACCAAGACGGCACTGAAAGCAAAGCAAAAGCTTTGAAGGCCAAGAAGGCCGTGGTGAAAGGCTCCACAGCCACAAAAAGAAGAAGATAAGAACGTCGCCCACCTTCCGCAGTCCCAAGACACTGCGGCTCCGGAGGCAGCCCAAATACCCTGGGAAGAGCGCCCCCAGGAGAAACAAGCTTGAGCACTATGCCATCGTCAAGTTCCCCCTGACCACAGAGTCAGCCATGAAGAAGATTGAGGACAACAACACACTCGTGTCCATTGTGGATGTCAAAGCCAATAAGCACCAAATCGAACAAGCTGTGAAGAAGCTCTATGACATCGATGTTGCCAAGGTCAGTACCTTAATCAGGCCTGACGGAGAGAAGAAGGCATAGGTTCAGCTGGCTCCCGATTATGATGCAAACTGAGTCCAGCTGGCTCATTCTATTTTTTATTTTTTATTTTTATATTTGGTGGAACCAGGGATTGAACTCAGGCCCTTGCGCTTGCCAGGGAAGCGCTTATTTTTCTGAGCCATCTCCCCAGCCCCCAAATTCTAAATATATACATTTTTTCTCAGAAAAAAAAAAAAAAGAAAGAGAAAGAGAGATGAGGTTTACAAAGACCAATAGGGAAGGAGAATTAGTTGCGACTTACTAGCAATGGAGCTGTCCACAAGAAGCATACTTGGGTGCAAAAGTGCCTCTCAGAAAATTCCACAGAGGGTGAAAAATCCCAGCGTTGAGGAACAGTGCCCCTCGGCAGATCTCACCCCGTGTGTGCGAAGGGAAAGAGTGTGGGCTGGCCGAATGCCTGGGGGATACTTCCTGTATGACACCATCTCTCAGCAAGCCCACAGGGGCAAGCGTCTAACACCAGGGCCTTCCAAGAGGTCCAGTGAGATGCGCTAGGCAAGCCATCGCCGGGAAGGGCAGTGCCCAGGGGCCCGTGGTGCTCTGTTCCGCACCCAGTTATTGCAGGGTGGGGTTTATAAACAGAGCGGTGCCATCCTTTGCTCTTTCTTTGTGTGACCTGCCATCCAGGGCACAGCTGACTCAGGGTACTGGCAGGAAAAGTCCCTAGAGATAATGCCATCTTACTCGCCTCCTGGTGCTCCTTGGATAACACTTGTCAGAACATTCTGGTTCTTTCCACTCACAGTGCCTTCTTGATTTGGCAAGAGTCAAAAACACAAAAGGACAGTACTGATTGCCCTGGTGTTGCCCAAGGGTGACACAAAGTATTTCACAATGTTGTCATCATGCTGTACAGATGCAGCGCTTGGGCTAACATTTGGCATTCAGCAGGTGCTGAATAAATGACAGGTGCTTTCCTCTTTTCTCCAGCCACTGAGGAGCTCACCTCTGGCCACAGTTAAGTTTTCCTCTTGTCCTTAACTAGACATAGTTTGATCTTAGTAAAATGATCCCGTATCATATATGACTTAGTGAGCTGTTTTTGTTTTTGTTTAAGACAAGGTCTCACTATATAGCCGAGGCTGGCCTGGAACTCCAACGATCCTCCTGCCTCAGCCTCCTGAGCGAGTGCTGGGATTACAGATGTGTGCCAGGTTTTTAATGAATTTTTTGTTTTCTTTTCTTTTTTTTTTTTTTTGGGGGAACCAGGGCTTGAACTCAGGTCCTTGAGCTTGCCAGGCAAGTGCTTATTCCACTGAGCTATCTCCCCAGCCCCTTTAATGAATTTTTTAGTATTGCTTTTAAAAGAAATTCGTGATTTTCACGACACAGTTTCTTTCCTGCACTTTCGTAGTCAATGTATTTTTTTTTTTTTTTTTTTTCAGGTTGCAGATATTTCTGTAGGCATAGCAAAGCTACTAGGCCTGTGACTTGTGTCTGTCATCACCAATGAAAAGGGCTCTTGCAGGCTTCTCTCTCCTCTACAGAGGAGAGAACAAGGTGAAATTTGATCTAGAAAGCAGTGTAGCCCATTCCCACTGCCTGTCCATGTTTCTCCTGAACCGGGAGTAGTTGTAGGTCATAGTTGGGTATGTTGAGACTTTTCTCTAAGGCTTCTTTCTTAGTCACCGCCTCCTATGACATTCTCAGCACAGGCAAGGTGTCAATAATTGTAGACCCAGTGAGACCAACTGGGTGGTCAAAGTCCCTTGGCCTGGATAAGAAACAAGATCCCCATCCCTCCAGGATCCTGGTGCCCAGGACTTCTCTAACACATGCTAGTTAGTGCTGGATTCCATGGTGGAGGGCCTGGGTCCCTATCATCTGTGTTCAGCTCAGTAGAAATCTGTGGCTCTAATTCTTTTGTGGATGGATAATATACTTCTATTACAGTAGCCACTTCCCCAGCAGGCACGGCGACACTATGTCTCAGCTTTGCAGTCAGAGAAGCCAGGTTTGAGCCTCAGTTTCCTTATCTGTCAAGTGAGCATAAGAATCCCCACCTCAGCTGGGCACAGTGTCATGTGCCAGTGGTGCCATCAATTGAGGAGGAGGCTGAGACAAGAGTATTGCTTGAGCCCAGGAGTTTGAGGACACCACAGGCAACACAGTTGGACCCTATGTGGATAAAAGGGGGTGGTACAAAGGATATAGAGACCCTGGGTTCCATCCTTAGCATGAAAAACAATCTCCACCTTGTGGAATGGCTGGATCGATGAAGTAGGCGAAGGCCCAGGTGCCTGCTACAGCCTTCCTGTTCTCATTGACCTCCCCAGAGTGGGGGTACACATATGGCGCCCTTTCCACACCCTGGGCACTGTTCTAGGTGTTGACACAGAGAAGAACAAAACAGGCTCTGGGCTTGAATGAGTTGTCATGGTACACAGGAAGGATGATAAAGCAGCAAGATAATTCATCTCCAAAGGATATGAAATGGGAGGCTGTGACCAGTGACCAGATGGACTGGGGTGGGTCCAGGGAAGGCTCCTCTGAGGAGGTGACCTTTGCATTGGGGTTTCTGTGAGGAGGAGCAAGCAGCCACCTGGTGATGTGGGGAATACCGGGTGGCAAGGAAGTGACCTTCTGGAGACCGCGGCATCTGAGGTCAACAGTGAGGCAACTGGACCCCAGGAAGTAGGGCGATCAGCAGGGACGCTGGTGTTCTCTGCTGTTCATTCTACTATCCTGGCTGTTTCTGGACTCAGGCCCTCAAGACACACACAGACACACAGACACACACACAGACACACACAGACACACAGACACACACACACACACACACACACACACACACCACCCGGAAACATTAGGGAGCCGCACAGTTTCAGTTCTACACACTGGCTAGAAACTGCCCACTGACAGGAGTCTCTAGAATAGAGAAATGTCTGTTACTGGTTGATGTCATACTACTCAGTCTGTGGTCAGTTGACCAACAGCCTCCTGGAGGCCACAGCCTTTGGGGAAGTGAGGGGAGCTCACCCTGGAGAGAAGACAAAGACTCTGCTGTCCCAGCCCGAGGCTTGGGTGCAGGTGTGACCCAGACATCCTGGGGCCTGGCAGCCCCTGGCTCTGCCCACCTACTAAGATGTTGACTCCTTCAGCGATCACATCTCCCTGGGAGAGGATCCGACCACAATTCCATGTGATCTTTGAACCTTAGTATCCTTATCTGTAATACAGGGACAGTGAGCAAAACCTCTCAGTTTGCTTAATCGGTCATTTGTATCTTACTGCGAACAAGTTTCAGATCCTTTCTTGAGACCAGGTCTGGTCAGGAGAGGCAGGCAAGAACATTTGGGAGGAAAAGAACTGAGTGTTGGGGGCTACTCAATACTCTATGGCTTAGGGGCTGGGGAGATAGCTCAGTAGAATAAGCGCTTGCCTGGCAATCACAAAGGCCTGAGTTCAATCCCCAGTTCCAGAAAAAAAAACAAAAACAAAAACAAAAAAACCCCCAAAACTCTATGGCATGAGTGAGGCCCTGAAATCAACAGAATAAGCCAAGACTGCCAGGCTTAGCCTCAGCTTCTCAGGGTGACAGATGCTGACCAAGTGACCCAGCAAGTGGAGGAGGAAGTGACAGCAATGGTGGAGGGTGAGGAAATCCTGAAATTCACCATCTTAGTCAGAAATAGGGTTCGGAGTGCAGAGGCAGTACACAGCGACTGAACCTGCTTGTGCCTGGCTGCTGTGCTGGGTCATCACGACAAATGTCTTGCCTATTCCTTTGGGTCCTTTTCCCAAGAGGTGTGTGACATTTCAGCTTGCCTAGCTTTGGAGCTGAGTCCAGGTTTTGGTCAACCACTTAAGCAATCGGGGCAGCTTCCAGCTGCTCCGGCCGTGATCCTAAATCTAGAACCATGAGTATGGACATCCACATGAGAAACTCAGCCCCTAATGGAAATGGTACTCCTTCCTGTGGTCTGGTTCTTGGAGTCTCATTCATGCACATATTCCCCAAATTTTTGTTGGTATTCATTGATACCAGCAAGATCTCCTTTCAGATCTTTTTTTTTTTGTCTTTTTGAGAGAGGGTCTTACTATGCAGTTCAGGCTGGCCTCAAACTCACAGTGGTCCTCCTGCCTCAGCCTCCCAAGCTCTGGGATTACAGGTGTGCACTACCATGCCTTGCCCAGGTCAGATTTTTGTATACATTTCACTGGCATTTGACAGGATCCTGCTGTAGCGATGATTGCAGGAAGTGCTTTAGCCTGGCTGAGGTCACATAACTCATATGTGGCCCCAGGGCTGAGCACTTAACCACTAGACTCTGTCACCTTTGCTTGAAAGCCTGTGCCCTGCTCAGAGTGCCTGGAGGGTCTACACAGCCTGATCCTTCATGCTGCTGCTGCTGCTGTTGCTGCAGATGCAGGGATGGGTGATGGGCAGGGACCGAGCAAAGCTGTCCTCTACTCTGCTCCGGGCCTTCCTGGACAGGGCCAGGCTGTGGGCTCTCTTCCCTGAACCTAGGCACCTAGAGGAGACCTTGAGTCACCTGTGCAACTCCCCTGCCCTCATGGGGCCCCTCCTCATCTAGGCTCAGGGCAATCAGCACTGAAGGAGGGTCTCTCTCTCTCCCCATGCAGGGAAGTTTTGGCACATCTCCGACCTGCATCTTGACCCGAATTACACGGTATCCCAAGACCCCTTACAAGTGTGTCCCTCAGCCGGCTCCCAGCTAGTGTACAATGCAGGCCCCTGGGGTGACTACCTCTGTGATTCTCCGTGGGCTCTCATCAACTCTTCCATCTATGCCATGAAGGAGATTGAGCCGAAGCCAGACTTCATCCTCTGGACAGGGTAAGAACGGCCATGGTGGCAGCTTCCCTTTGCTGGGAGTCTGCACCCTCTTTGTTTTCTCTAGTCCTCCTATCGGACCTGCTTCAAGCACTTATATAATTTACCCAAGCAACCCTGACTGATTCCAAAGACTGCCCACAAACTCAGGGTTCCCACCTCTGAAAATAGTCCTTAAGGGCCAGGGAGATAGCTCAGTAGCCTAAGTGCTTGCCTGGCAAGCACAGGGTCCTGAGTTCAATCCCTGGTACCACCAAAAAAAAAAAAAAAAAAAAAAGAAAGAAAGAAAACAGCCCTCATTGAGGTTGGGGAACATACAGAAGCTTCTGAATTTAAGCTGGGGATGGGTACTGGAGCCACTTCCCTTAGGGCTGTGTATGATAACTGTCATGATCAGCTACTGGCCACCCCTGGGCTGCCAGCGCCCCCTGAAGAGCACCCAAGGAAGGTGGGCAGGGCAGAGACTCGATCTCTTCTTCTCTCCAAGAATGGTGCTGTTCGGCCTTCACCTTCCTGGGAACTTGCCCTCTCGTTACTCTGGTCCCTCCTGCTCTCTCACCGTTCGTAGAAGTTTGAGTCTGTATTTGGCTGGCTCCAAGGCAGGCTGGCACGGCAGAGGGCATCACAGAGGAGAAGCAGTCCATGCAGGGAAGGCAAGGAGGCAGCAAGCAGCAGCAGCGCTGAGCCTCCCTTTCTCCTTTCTTCCATCTAGGCTTCAAGCCTATTGGACCTTCCTGTTATCCGCAACCAGAACTATGCTAAACCAATTTAGTTGTCAAACACCCATAATCCTAGTACCACACACCCTGGATTCAACCACCACAGAAAAAGCCCCTCCTATGAGCACACAGGGGACATCTGGACACAAGCCATAACAGACCTTGTGGTTGGCAGAAGGCAAACTTGGACCTTTTAGAAATGTGGCAAAGTTTCTGGAGAGGCATGGACAGGCTGGGCCTCTTTGGGCTCACGAATCAATCTAAGAAAAGGGTGAGCTTGACTCCATGACTTTGGGCACTGACTCCCTGGAGGGTTTGGCTGGGGAAGCCCCTGACTTCTCTGAAGTGGAGGTCCTGGTGGAGTAGGTAATATGCTGAAAGATGTGATCTCTCTAGAAAGACTTTGGGGAATTCACATTTCTTTCACTGATGCACAGTTTTTCTTGTAAACCTCTGAGATTTTGCAGATTTATATGGCATTGGATGAGATCAATGATCTCTTGGAATTTCTTTTTCTTTTTTTCTTGGTGGAACCGGGGATTGAACTCAGACCCTTGCGCTTGCCAGGCAAGTGCTTATTCCATTGAGCCGTCTCCCCAGCTCCTCCATGATCTCTTTGACCCCTTATAAATTTTCACTTACAAAGAAAACTGGGGACTGGAGATATAGCTTGGCAGTCTAAGCGCCTGTTTGGTAAGTGCAAGGAGCTGAGTTCGATCCCTGGTACCGCAGGCTGTGCAGGTGCCAGAACCCCAGGTGAGCTGTGCAGGCCCCCAAAATCGGATGTGGTGGTGCGTGCCTGTAATCCCAGCACTGGGGCAGCTGAGACAGGAAGATCACTAGCTGTGAAGCAAGACCATGTACCAAATAAATAAATAAATGAAAGTTTAAAAAAATAAAAAAAGAAGAAAACTGACATCTCTGAGAGAGCTGCAACAATTCCTTTGAGGAAAACCTAAAAAAAGTTCATGTTGGGACCTGGGGAGATAGCTCAGTAGAATGAGTGCTAGCCTGGCAAGCTGAGGGTCCTGAGTTCAATCCCCAGTGCCACACACACACACAAAACAAACAAACAAACAAACAACAAAAACAAGTAGATGTGTTTTCTTTAACTTTTTTTCCTCCCCTGCAGACAGTCTCACTATATAGTTTAGTCTTGAACTCTCTGTATCCCAGCTGACCTTGAACTCACAGCAATCCTCCTGCCTCAGCATCCCAAGTGTTGGAAGGTGTGCACCACTATGCCCAGCCTGAATGTGTTTTCTATGAGACAGAATTAGATCCCTGAAAGTAGAAAATAAATTGGAATTTTGTCTCCTGCCTTCTGGTTCCTGGCTTGTCCCAAGAAGTCAACAAGGCTAAGTAGCTCCTCTCTGGGCCCAATCTAGGTATCAGCATTGTGCCCTAAGGCCAGGATGATTGCTTTCAAATTTTGGCCCCACCTTTTTCTAGCCTTGTGCCCTGCAGTACAATCCTGGCTTTATGGTTGCCTCCTTTATCTAGCACAGATATCTAGGGGTGGGGCACCTGCTTAGTACGCAGGAAGCCCTGGGTTTAATGTATGACATTAGTATGACAGAAAAAGAAAGATTAATGAACAGTTCTAGAGATCCAAAGGCTGGCAAGTGCTGGGCTCTGGTGAGGTGCTTCTGGCTGTCTGCCCACGTGACAGGGGGCACCAGAGCAGGAGTGCAGGGGAGAGGGACAGAGCAGTCACACAGCAAGGCAGGAAGCCAGAGGAGACTCAGAGGCCAGGCTCACTCGCAACCACTTACTTTCCAGGAACTGGCCCGGCTCCTGGGGGAACGACCGCAATCCTTTCCCAGAGTGCACCCCACCTCATTACCTCGCACCCCACCTCGTTACCTCACTCTAGGTCCCCAGTCTTCAAGGTTCTACTGCCTCCCAGAATCACTACCGTGGGGACCAAGTTTCCAGTACATAAACCCCAGGGGACAGACCCATTCATTGAAACCCTGTTCAAGCCATAGCAGCACAAAGAGAGCCAGCAAAGAAAGCCAGCGTGCGTCCTCCCTCAGCAGTTGTGCCAGTCAGGCACTGAAATTGCCCATCACCCCTTAGCAGTTTGCCCCGAGCTGACACTCGGCAGGGTGTTTATTTGGTACTGTCCTGAGTGCACTTGGGCAGGTGGCATCCCAACCAATCGATTCCTGTGTGGAGTAAATTTAATAACACTCTCATTTTCATATTTCCTTTTATATTATCCTATGAAAATTAATGAAAAAATATGCAATTTTTGTCATCCTGTATTTAAATAATTGGACTAGTAAGTGGTTAAACTAGTTACCATCCCTGGGTGAGTACCTGTGTAGCAGCTGCCTCCTTTGGGCTGGACCAGCAGAGGCCTCAGGATTTAGGTTTTCTGGACTTCTACCCATCCCTAAACCCTCCCCACCGGTGTTCTCTTCTCCCTCCCTCACCTTGCTAAGCACTTTCAGGTTGAGCCCAAGAATTGAAGTCAGTTGTGCGAGAGGCAAAAAAGCTGTGGGTCTGCCCTAGGGAAGACCTGAACCCTGAAGCCAGCTCCAGTTGCCTCTGAGGGAAGAGGCAGCTTTCAGAAATGGCTTCTGGCCCCTGAGCTCCCTGGGGGCTTGGCAGTGGGCCTTGAACTTGAGAGCTGTGCTCCTTAAATGGTAACAGCAACACAGAGACCTACAAATGTGCAGCCATGATGGGCTTCAACCAAGGGAGCCCATGCAAGAAACTGCACTCGGCGTTTGGACTTCCAGGCTCTAGAACAATGAGCTAAATGTTATTTATTCTTTATAAAATAAATAACAACAATAATAACACTGACTATATATATATTTATAAGATTTTTCTTTTTTCTTGTGGAACTGGGGACTGAACTCCTGACCCTGTGCTTGCCAGGCAAGTGCTTATTCTATTGAGCCATTTCCCTGGCCCTCCTTTTTTTTTTTTTTTTTTTTTTTTAAGACAAGGTCTTGCTATATAGTTCAGACTAGCTTTGAACTCACTCTGTAGAGCAGGCTGGCCTTGAACTCATGGTAGTCCTCCTGCCTTAGCTTCTCTGGGATTACAGGTGTGCATCACTATGCCCGGCTAATTCATTCATTCATTCATTCATTCTTTTTTTTTTTTTAATCAATTTTTAAAAATTTCTCTTCTTTTGGGCCGGTAAGATAGCTCAGTGGACTAAGCGCCTGCTTTGGCAAGTGCAGGGACGGGGGCTGGATCCCCTGTCCTGCATGCTGCACTAGCCCTGACCCCAGGGTGCGCTGTGCTGAGGGGCAACCAAGTCTGGGTGTGGTGACACATACCTGTAATCTCAGCACTGGGGAGGCTGAAAACAGGAGGATCACTATGAGTCCAAGCTGCGTAGTGAGACCTTGTACCAAAAATATAAAAATGAAAAAAAAATTCTCCTATTTTGAAGTCTCACAATACTAAAAAATCAGCAGGTCCCCATTATTTTCCACTTTCCACATGAGCTAATAGGGGCTCAGAGAGGCTAACAACCAGCCACAGCTGTTGAATCTCAGTGGACATTGTGAAAGGCCATTCCCTTCACAGGCCTGCTGCCCAGTTCACAGCTTTCTTCCCCCTGCGCGGCTGCCTCTTCTTGCTTCCCTTCCCAGTTGCCTGTCCCAAACTGGCTTGGTGGTGTTTTGCAGCGATGACACTCCACATGTGCCTGACGAGAAGCTGGGAGAGGCGGCCGTGCTGGAAATCGTGGGGCGCCTGACCGGCCTCATCAGGGAGGTCTTTCCAGGTGAGGCTCTGCCATTGGTCCCCCCACGTGGTGCCTGGCACAGTGGCACAGCAGAAGCAGGGAAACCAATGACAAGGATGGTATCTGGCCAGGTCCCACTCCAGGGGCTTCACAGCCAGCATTTCTGACCTTACTGAAAACCCCTCAAGGGACCCATGAGCTCCTCAGCCTGTGGAAACACACAGGCTCCCAAACGCCTGGTCTTTCACAGCCTGTCTTTCTCCCTGTTTAATGCTAGCCTTCCAAAGCCTTCTTGGTGGAGTCCCCAATTATACATGGGCATCCCCGTGTAAGTTTTACATGGGTGCACACACAGTCCCCGTGTCCTTCTCTGGCCCTGGCATTGGCATCTGCTGTCCCGAAGCCATCCTAGCTATAAGGCCCTCTGAGAGATGCAGATTTCCAGCTAGGGTGCTGTTCTAGGAGCGGGCAGGGGGTGGGAGTGAGTGGGACAGTGGCTTAACGGGACACAACAGGGAGGAGAGGTCTGTTGCCCTCTATAGTGCCGTTGAGCATGTTTTTAAGTGAGCTGTGCCAAATGCAGGGTCCTGGGGTCTGAATCAGGCCTGTAGGCTGCCAGCTGGGCACCTGAGCAGGCTGCCCCCCATCACCTCTTCCAGTTCTGCTACTGTTGCTCTTTCTAATGGTCTGGGAGTTGGGTCCCCAGAACCCAGATATGGAATAACAATATTGTAAAGAAATAATGGTATTAATTGCTGCATATATCTACTGCCTTGTTAGTCTCTCTTTTTTAAAGACAAGGTCTCCCTATACAGTTCAGGATGTCCTTGAACTCACTATGTAGCCCAAGCTGACCCTGAGCATGCAGCAATCCTCCTGTCTCAGACTCCTGAGTGCTAGGTTACAGTTGTGTGCCACCATGCCTGGCACCATTATTGCTAGGGAATGTGAGTCTTGAAGTCAGGCCAAGGTTACATGACGAAAGTTGGGGGCCAAGTTTAATCTGAGTGCTGCTCTTACTTGACACTCCTACCGTCTTTGCCCCTTCCTGTAAGCCAACTCATGTAAAGAGATGCTTTAGACCACTGAGCCATCTCACCAGCCCTCTTCTCAGTTTTCTAAGGCAATGCAGCATCTCCCATCCAGCGATGCCTGGTCTTGTTGAAGTTCCTGGAAAGCTCGCTTCTTAGGGCCAGGGCTCTCTCCTTCCTCACCCTAGCAGTGGGCATCATGTCCCTTCCCAGGGAGGCCTTCAAACACAGGTCCAACTGTGGGCTCTTTCCTCTGCTCCACACGGAGCTTCTGGAATAAAAGCAAAAGAATGGCTAAGAAAACTGCTTTATTAATGATACTTTAACACACACAAATTACAAGATTTAGTGTATGTCACACTGGCACATTTACTGAATTTCTTAATATTCATTGGCTATAAAAAGCATTATTTTGTCTACTGCTAAGAAAAAAGTACTGCCAGTTCAACAGTGACATGGCTTTCTCATGACCACATCGGGAGGACACACTTCACATTCAGAGATTAAAATGATTAAAATGATACCAATCTTCTCAGCAGACTATAAAGCACCTGCTTAGAATGCAGTACTTGGGATTCAATCCCCAGTGTGCTGTACTGGCCCTGGGGTGCTGAGAGGGAGACTGAGACTCGGCATGGTGGCAGGCGCCTGTAATCCCAGCTCTTGGGAGGCTGAAAACAGAGAATCACTATGAGTCTGATCTGTGTAGTGAGACCCTATAGACTATGTATTAAATACATTTTAAAAAGAGATACCAATTTGGAAGAGATGAAATGAGGCATTATCTTATTTGAGAATTATAACAACACAGGTCAGGAAGAAAAAAAAATAAAGAAACAAAAGATCTAGGGAGTTGGCTCAGTGGCATAAGTGCCTCCCTGGCAAGCACAAGGTCCTGAGTTCAATCCCTAGTGCTGAAAGAAAGAAAGAAAGAAAGAAAGAAAGAAAGAAAGAAAGAAAGAGATCAAGCAGAATACTTTCAACAGTTTACAGTAAAAAGGGGCCAGGAAGATAGCTCAGCAGAATAAGCCTGTGCCTGGCAAGTGGAAGGGCCTGAGTTTAAATCCCTGGATCTGAAAAAAAAAAAAAAAAGAAAGAAAGAAAGAAAAGAAAAAGAAAAAAGAGAGAAGAGATGGGGAGGAAAGGACTATATCATAGGTAGTGCCCATGGCCCTCCCGCATTACCCATCAACCCCTTTGAACACTGATCTTGCTTGTCCTGCATGGTAGAATGGCTGAGAATACGGATACAGAAATGCCAGCCCCCTCTGCTAACAAAACCAATCCTGGTCTCAACTCTCACCCTGCCACATTCTAGCATCCAGCTTCTATTTTCTTCCTGTGAAAAAAAGAAAACAATGGTACTTGCTTCTGCATTGTTATGCAAATGAAACAGGGTAATCCATTCATGAGTCAATGTCAAATTTTTTTTTTTAATTTTAGGACAGGGTCTACAGGGTCTACAGGGTCTCACTATGGAGATTAGACTCATAGTGATCCTCCTGTTTTCAGCCTCCCAAGGGCTGGGATTACAGGTGTGTATCACCACGCCCAGTCTCAATTGAACCCAGGCCCCTGGGTCTGCCTAAGCAGGCGCTTTGATCCACTGAGCTATCTGGCCGGCCCACCCATTTGGGGATATGGAATGGACAAGATAGCAGAGCATGCCTGCAGGGTGCTTATGTTTGTAAGGACCCTGGCATACAACAGCATTAAAAAAAAAAAAAAAAAAAAGGCGGGGCAGGGGTTGGGAGGTAGGGAGCAAGTCCTTATTTGCCTTTGGAACTTCAGGGATTGGTGCTTTTTCAGAATGACTGCTGAGGGTCATGTGTGTGCCCTCAGCACACATGTGTAATCTCAGCACTCAGGAGGCTGAGGCAGGAGGATCATTGTGAGATCGAGGCCAGTTGGGGCTACAAAGTGAGTTCAAGGCCAGCCTGAACTGCATAGTAAAATCCTGTCTCAAAAAAAAAAAAAAAACACCTGGCTGCTGCTGTTTACATTAGGGAAGTAAGGGTTTCCCAGGCAGCCTCAGCAAAGCTTTCCACAGCCTCCTACACTGGCAGAGTCTGAGCATTTCCAGGGCTTGTAGGTAGAACAGAGGGCTTGTTAGAGCTATTTTCCAGCTGGCAACCAGCAAGCCTCCCCTGCTGGTTCAAGTTCATCACCCAAGATGTCCCAAGTTCATAGATAGCTCTGAGCACTAGAAGGCTTTTCTTTTCTTTATTTCATTTTTTGTTTATTGTCAAATATTTATTGAATGTGCCAGGCACAGAACTTGAAATAAAAGCAGGAATAAGCCTGCTACAAGGAGGAGATGAGTCTGCTGGGCTCCCCGCACCTCCTGCTCGCTTTCTCAGGCCACTGTGAGCCCTACTGGTCTCTGCTACTTCCACAACAGGTGACCCTGTCCTTTCTGTGACAGCTCTCACTTCTGTAATTACTCAGTCCTGTCAACCCACTGCACCACAAGTTCTTTGGACACACAGTAGATGTTTAATAAAATGTCCATTGACTGCACTGAAGAGATGAACTTCTGAGATCTCCTGAGTGAGCCAGACCCCCTCTTCAGCATAGGATGGGCCTAGAATGAGCAAGGACATGGAACACTAAGTACCAAGTGGATAATGGTGAATGATTTGGATCCCCTAGTGTCCCCTTCCATCTGAGGCCTCCTTTCTGACAGGGAGTTTTCTCCTGGGAATGGGGTTAGGGACCAGAGTCAGGCAATTCTCTGCTTTTCACTCCCAGGTCAATGCAAACTGCAGTCAGATCCTATCAAATGTGGTTTTCTGCTTATCTTTGTATTTTCTTCATCTGTGTTACCACTTCTGCATTAGCTCCAATGGCCCCTGGCCAACTGAAAACAACTAAGGGCTCTTAAATATTTTATTTTTTGGGTATCAGGAATCAAACTCGAAAAAAACCAAACCAAAATAAAACAAAACAAAAAAAGGAATCGAACTCAAGTGCTTGCCTGGCAAGCACAGGGTCCTGAGTTCAATCCCCAGTACCCCGGTACAACAACAACAACAACAACAACAACAACAACAAAAGTACTCGACTGGGGAAGCTTGCACTTACCAGGGAGGTGCTTGTGCCTCTGAGCTACATCCGCGGCCCCCTTGAATATTTTAAGCATATGTCTTTTCTTTCCAGATACTAAAGTCTATGCTGCCATGGGAAATCATGACTTTCATCCTAAAAGCCAGTTCCCAGCGAAGAGCAACAATATCTACCACCAGGTAGCAGAAATGTGGAGACCCTGGCTTAATAATGAGTCTGTTGCTCTCTTCAAAGAAGGTACTAACACCATTTGCCGCTATGCAAAGCACTTACTGTATGCCAGGGGCTGATCTAACTTCATCTTCACAGTAACCCCTTGAAGTAGGGGATGATTTGGCCCCCATTTTACAGATTAGGAGATTAGGAGATTGAGGCCTGAAGAACCCAAGTCATTTGGCCAACATCATACAGTTTAGCAAAGGTAGTTTGAAGGGTAGACTCCAGCTGGCTGTGGCAGTACATGCCTGTAATCTCAACTACTTGGGAGGCTGAGGCAGGAAGATTATAAATTTGCAGTTATCTTTGGCAAATTTAGTGAATCCCTGTCTTCAAATAAAATCTTGAAGCAAGCTGGGGATGGGCTGGGGAGATAGCTCAATGATCTGTGTGTCTTCTTGGGAAGTGTAAGTGATAGGGGTTTTTTCAGGTGACCCATGCAGCAGAGAAACAGGCAGAACAAAAAAGGGAAAGGGGCTTTATTATCATAGAGGACCCAGAGAGAATCTAGGGAAGATAAGGAATTCTCTGGAGTTGGACAAAGGGAGGCTGAGGCTTTTATGGCCTTTCGCCAGGGGTGGAGTTTGAAGGAGATGTTTAGGTATACTTGAGAAACTGGGGGTCTTCCCTGAGGTGGCGGGAAGGGTGAAAGGAAATTGCACCCTGGGCTGAGTTGGAGAAGAAGGGGGAGGTGGTCCTGGGTAAGATGAGCTTTTGTTTTAAGGGCATCGGCCATATTAGATGACCACCATAATGATTTTGGCAATTCATACTAGGGCCAGAACCTACCAGTAAGGACTCAGGTTTAATTCCCAGTACTGCAGGTCTTGCTAGCTCTGGAACCCTGAACATGTTGTGCTGCCCTAAAGCCAAGTGTGGTGGCACATGCCTGTAATCCCAGTGCTGGGGAGGCTGAAGACAGGGAGGATAACTACGAGTTCAAACTAGTAAGCCCCTGAATCAAAAGAAAAAAAAAAGGTTGGGAATGTAGCTCAGTACAGCATTTTCCTAGCACATATGAGGTTCTAGATTTAATCCCCAGTACTAGAGGAAAAACAACAACAAAACAGGAGCAGAATATGGGTCAGATTCCAATGCCCATGCTTTTAACCCCACAGTACAAATGGTGAGTAGTTTATTCCGTGCCAGCCACTACCCTCAGCATGGTACTAGATTCTTCATAGCAAACCAGAGAAGGATCAGGGGCCTTAAGCTCATGGTGGATTGAGGTGGATATCTGGAGCTGCAAGGTGTCTGGTATGCCATAGGTTTAGCAGCATCCCTGGCCTTCATCCACTGGGTGCTGGTACCACTCCAGTTCCAACCACATGCAATGTCTGGGCATTTCAGGTTCCTTGAGGGAGAGATTTCCTGGTTGAGAACCACTGGTCCAGAGCCATGGCCAGCCTGCCGAGTGCTTGGCTCTATTCCTTTACCTTGGCCTTGTGCTACTGGGACTCCCCACTGGTTAAGTCCACCCAGAAACCCAAGCCTCAGTGCCTGAAGATTTAGTCTGAATGCATCAGCTTCTGGGGCCAAGTGGAACACAACTGGCATGGATTTAGATGGGCAGGCACACATCACTGTTCTTCCCATTGTACTAACGAGGAAACTGAAGCAAAGAGAGGTGAAGTAACTTTTCTTGCACAGCTAATGAGGGATAGAGCTAGGATTGAACCCAGGCAGCCTTGTTCCAAGCCTTTGCTCTGACCCCTGGATGTCCTTTCTAAGGGGAAAGTGGGAAAAGAAGATTCCAGGGAAGGAGAAGGTGGGAGAGTGAGGTAGGGGGCAGAGACCACCTTCATGGTCTCCCTGGCTGTGACCCCCTAGGTGCCTTCTACTCAGAGACGTTCCCGGGTCCCAGCAGCGCGGGCCGCATAGTGGTTCTCAACACCAATCTCTACTACAGCAACAATCGGCTCACAGCAGACATCACTGACCCCAGCCAGCAGTTCCAGTGGCTGGATCGTGTGCTGACCAATGCGTCCCAAGCCGGGGAGAAGGTGAGGGTGCCTGGCCTCTGGGTGGCTATCTGTCTGCTGAGCAGGTAGCTCCTCAAAGACTGGCACACACTGAGTCCCCACACTGTTCACCATGTCCCAGCAGGGTTTCATGGTTGGGGCTCATGAGCCTGGTAGCTAAGTGCCTTGTTTTTTGTCAGTTGAGTGACTTGTGCAGTGTAAGACATGAACATCCATGTCCACATGGTGTACACTGTCCAGTAATGCATAGATGGCCCAGGCTGTCCAGGGAGATAGTCTCGGAAGGTTCTAGGGGGTTTTGTGGAGGAGATGATGGTGGAGCTAGATTGAGGGTAGCAGTAGGATTTCTAAAGCGGAAAGGAAATGTTCCCCAGGTGGCAGGCAGAGGCTATGGCACATTGGTTTGAGATGGAACTGGGGGATCTGAGTCCCCGAGGCCCCACTTCTTTGCAGGTCTACATAATTGGCCACGTGCCCCCGGGCTTCTTCGAGAAGACACGGAACAAGGCGTGGTTCCGGAATGGCTTCAACAAAGAGTACCTGAAGGTGGTCCAGAAGCACCATGGTGTCATAGCAGGGCAGTTCTTTGGGCACCAGCACACTGACAGCTTTAAGATGTTCTATGATGATGCAGGTACTCACGCAGAGCAGCTGCCAGCCCGCCTGCCTGCTTTGCTCCCCAGCCCCTCTCATGCCTGCTGTCTCTCTCCCCAAAGGTTCCCCCATCAGCGTCATGTTCCTCACCCCTGGGGTCACCCCGTGGAAAACCACATTGGTTGGAGTAGTCAATGGAGCCAACAATCCAGGCATCCGATTGTTCGAGTATGACCGAGCCACACTGAGCCTGCAGGTGAGGAGCCTGGGGTCTGCTGGGGCAGAGGAGGAGGGTGGAGGGGCCAACACCTATCCCTGCTTTCCCTGGTATCACTTAACTCACCGGGTACTGACAGCTGGGCCTCAGGAAGGTCAAGTTACTTCCACCTTCCTTGACTCACGTTCAGAACCTGGGAGTTGCCCACCACCGACGCAGGGCAATTCTGCTCCCAGCCCTGGATCTCTGCCATAGTCTCTGCCTGTTGCCAGCCCTTCCCTGCTGAAACCCATCCGACACATGCCACAGGAAGGGTTAATCTCTCTAGAGCGCTGCTTTCAACTTGCCCCTCTCTGGCTCAGTGTTGAGGCTGAGGCAGGAGAATCACTAGTTTGAGGCCAGCCTGGACTACATAGAGAATTCAAGGCCATGCTGGACCTGAGACCCTTCTGCTGGACCTGAGACCCTAGGAAGATCAGTGTCTTCCCAGTATCCTCAGTATAAGTTTGGATCTTCTTGGCCTTAGTACTGGAGGCTTTTCAGTCTCACTCCAAGTGCACTGCCTAGTTCTTGCTGCTGGACAAGGCTCCAGACATTAATAAGGCTTTGGCCTGAGCCACTGAAGGATGGGGCTTCTGCTTACTGAGATGGGGTGACTGCGGGGGGACCCAGTTTAGGAGGGAGAATCAGAGGTGCACTTTTGGAGCTGTTGGCTTTGGGGTGGCTACATGGTGTCCCTATGAAAATGGCCAGGGAGGAGGCAAGCTGGAGCTTCAGACACAAGTGAGCATACACATTTAATCTGGAACTGAGAGAGGACATTCGAAGCCAGGGACAGGAAGTCCTTGATCCTAGAGAGTAGGTATAGATCAAAGAGAGGTCGGAGGAGGGCTGGGGAGATAGCTCAGTAGAGTAAGCACTTGCTCGGCAAGCACCAGGGCCTGAGTTCAATCCCCGGTTCGGAGGAGTTTTTCAGAGTGTGGCCTGAGCTGATTCACCTACAAAATGGAAATAACAACGCAAGGTTTTGCGCGGATGGGATGAAATAACGTCATACGCCCAGCATGCACGTTTCTCATCCATCCTTAGCAGCCCCCTAGAGGGACCACAGATTTTTTTTCTCTTTTTTTTTTTAATTGAGAAATAAATATGAATGAGACAGTTTCACAGCTGATTAATAGGACAGTTTTGATCGTCAATACACTGTACATTGTTATCTTCTTAGTGGTTATCCATAGTACAAAAAGCAGACAGGATATCCTGTCCAAACACTGTTAGTACACCTCTTTCTTCTCATTGAGTTAAG